GGGGGGGGGGGATACTTTTTTGGAGGGGTTCTTTAGCTGTAGCACTGTCAGATAAAAATGCCAGCCAGCTCCTCAAGCACGCACAGAGTCCTATTTCTACACCGAGGATGAGAAGGGGGTGGAGGGTTCAGTCTTGTGTCCTGGCTGCCTTTGGGGGGGGGGGGAACTCCCCCCGCCCTGCCCTGAAAGCACCACATTTCAAAAACCTGCCCCCCCCCCACAACAACCCACCCGCAAGTTGATGCTTGATAGTCTCACTGATGATGTTCTTTTAACCCCCAGCCCTGGGGGTTCAAACCCCAGAATCCTGAGGGGGGGACACGATAGCTCCATGGAGGTCTGTTTTTTCCAGGGACACCCCCACCCCCAGTCTGCTGATCCAGCTCGCCTTCTGGTTACATAGAGGAAGCGAAAGAGCTGGGCCACTCTCCGTGTCCCAAGTGGCGTCCATCAAGAGATGCTGCCTCAAGTTTGTTGAAGGTGCCTAAGAGGTGGAGCTCTCTCTCTCTCTCTCTCTCTCTCTCTCCTCACAAACAGGAGGCTGTGTGAGTTCGATCCTACGGAGAGGCTAATGTTTGGAACAGAATCTCCTGCTGGAGCACGGGGTTGGGCTAGATGACCTCCCAGGTCCCTTCCAACTCTTGTTTGGAGATGCCAAGGGCCTGAGGAACGGAGTGTCTCCTCCGCTCGCTCGTTCTCCCCAGCAGCTTTGGCCCAAAGCTAAGAAGCAACCGGGAGTAGCCCAAAAAAGCGAACAGGAGGAGAGGGACAGCCGGGGGCAGCTACAGCAAAGCCGTCGCCTCAGAGTCAAGAGGAGAAGCCCCAGCAACCGAGGTCAGGCAACCTTGAGCAGAGGCGGCCAGCACAGAGAGTCTCCCAGCTCCGCCACGCTAGGCCTCCCGTCGCCATGTGGGACGGCTGGGGAAGCTCGTTCGGAGGGGCCTGCTTTAAAAGTGGGGCGAGGGGAGGCCAACATTTGGACCCAAGGACCCGCGAGGTGGCTGACGGAGGTCCGCAGTTCGGGTCCAAAGGGCCGTCGAAAGAGCCGCTTTGCTGGACGGGGGAGGCCGAGGCGACCGCCGGCGGGCCCGTGGGAAAGCGGGGGGGGGGCTACCCGGGGAGGCTCGTCTAGAGTTAAAAGCGGCGGGTTCTCCGGCGAGGAAAGCAACCGTCTCCCGCCACAGCCCCGCAGACGGCCGCCTTCTCTCCCCCACCCGACTCCCGGGGAACGGGCGTCGGGCGCGCTCACTCGCGGCAGAAGACGTACTCGGTGTAGCTGGTCCAAATCTTGTCCTCGGCGGGGCCGCCTTGCTCGGGCCCGAAGGCGCAGGTGCCCGTGGAGGAGCAGGCCGCCATGCGGAAGCCGGCCTCGCTCAGCCGGTCGAAGGCCTGCTCCAAAAAGTTGAACTTGAGGTAGTAGCGGGCCGTGTAACGCTCGGGAGGCCGATCCGGGTCGCGGCTCTCGTTCAGCGTCTCGCCGAAGACCTCTTTGGCCAGCGCCGTCTTGCCGCACACCGTGATGCGGGCCACCCGTCGGAACTTGGCGTCGGCTTGGGCGTCCCGGCCGATGGTGTACGAGCCCCGGTAACCGATGGTGATGTAGCCCGAGCGGCGGCCGCCGGGACCTCCGCCGGCGTCCAGAGAGAGGGAAGCCGACAGCATCGGCGGCGCGGGCCCCGACGGGCTGCGGCCCGACGTCGGCGAGGCAGCCGAAGCCGCCGGGGTCTCGCTGAAGTCCGCTTCTAAGTAACCCAGCGCCGCCGGGTCGTCGGCGCACACCGAGGAGTCGCGCAGCAGCCCCGCGAAGCGCGGCGGCGGCAGGGCCGAGGAGGAACCTGAGGCCGCCAGACGGCGCACCAGCTCGGGCAGCTGGAAGTATTCGGCTTCGCGGCGCAGGCGGTTGCGCTCCGGGAAACCCTCGGGCAGCACCAGCTCCTGATCGCGCAGGTAGTCCAGGACGTAACGGAAGAGGAAGCCGTCGCGGTCCAGAAAGAAACGGCCCTTGGCGTCGCGGGGCAGGTCGGTGGCCTCTTGCTGCGAGAAGAGGCGCCACAGCAGCGAGCCGCGCACCGACAGCACCGTCCCTCGCCGGGTCACGTACACCTGCCCGCCCACGTTCAGCTCCACGATCTCCGGGATGGGCCCCGACGACGGGGACGAGGCCAGGTCAGAGGCCGTTGGAGCGCGAGAGACGCCGCTCCGGGCGCCGCCACCGCCGCCGCCGTTAGGGAGCCCCCGGGCGCTGTCGGCTAAGGCCATGCCGGTGGTCCCGGCCGAGGAGGGCCGCCGCTGCCTGCGCTCCCCGGGACCGCGACCGTCGCAACCCCGCTCCGCTTTTTAGCCGGCCTGTTCCGCGCGACCCGGACGGTTCTGCCTTCCTTGCTCGCGCGTGTGTGGCTCCGCTGGGCTGCGGCCTCCCGGGCACTTTGCCGGCGTGCCAAAAAGAACGGGCGGCGGGACTGGCTTTTTATGTCGCTCCGCTGCGCTGCTGCCACCGGCGGGAGGAGCGAGCGGAGGCGGCGGCGGCGGCGGCCGGGAGGCTGACGTCGCTCGGGCGCTTCCCCTGCGCGCTGCCTGCCTCCCGTTTTGCGCGGAGCCGCCACCGCCACGCCCGAGCGCCCCACTCCGGACGCGCGCGCGCGCAACGGGCCGGGCCGGGCTTGAGCCTCTGCTTTTGGAGCGGGGCCGGGCTAGCGGCGCTTTTTGGAAGGAGCTGCAGCCGCTTCGCGGGCTCCCCGGGGACTCCCGCGCGAGACCCGGGAGAAGCTCGGACTGCCGCGGGAGGCCTCCTCTCCCCCGCTTGTCCCGGTGGGCTGGCGGGACCCGCCTGGGGAGAGGAGCCTGGCTTGGTTTTGGGTTGCCAGAGGCGGGTGGCGGCCGTCGCCTTCGCGCGGGAACGTGGAGCGAAGAGGTGTGGGAAAGTTCCGCTCCCCGCGGGGTGACGGCTGGCCGCTCGGGAGTGCCAGACAGCGGAGAAAGTCGGGGTCTCCGTTCTTTGTTTCTAGGAGCGCTTCCTCCGACCCCCTCCCGGTTTCCCTTCCTCTCCATTCCTAGAATAAAGAGTAGAGTCCGCGTTTCGCTTTTACTTTCTGAACCAGGGGTCTCCAACTTTGGCAACTTTAAGCCTGGCTGACTTCAACTCCCAGAATTCCCCAGCCAGCACTATCTGGGGAATTCTGGGAGTTGAAGTCCACCAGGCTTAAACTTCGCTGGCTGGGGAGGCTTAAACTTCACTGGCTAGGGAATTCTGGGAGTTGGTCCACCAGGCTTAAACTTCACTGGCTAGGGAATTCTGGGAGTTGAAGTCCGCCAGGCTTAAACTTCGATGACTGGGGAATTCTGGGAGTTGAAGTCCACCAGGCTTAAAGTTGCCAAGGTTGGAGACCCCTGTTCTAAACCGATTCAGACGACAACATGTCCGTGTTCGGTCTTTGGGGAAGCTTTCTTCAGGGATGCTCAGACCAGTGGAACAGCTTGCCTCCAGAAAGATGTCGAGACTCTCCGTGGCGGATTAAGGCTCACTGGTGCCCTAAGCACTAACAAATCTTGGTAGGGCTCCCTTCTTTGTACATATTGTACAAACGAAGCCAGGCTTAAGTTTTGTGGTGCTCCCTTTGAGCCTGGTGCCCTAAACGTGCTTCGTCTGCTTAATGCTTAATACACCACTGGAGACTAGGAAAAGTGCAGAGAAGAGCAACCAGGATAATTAGGGGACTGGAGCAGAGGTGGTATTCAGCAGGTTCTGACCAGTTCTGGAGAACCGGTAGCGGAAATTTTGAGTAGTTTGGAGAACCGGCAAATACCACCTCTGACTTGCCCCATCTATTCTCTGCCTCCCATTGAGTCCCAGCTGATTGGCTGGGTCTTCTTTGGTTGCCCTGCACAGAAAAACAGAGCTGGAAAGCAGGTTAGCGGGGCGGAGAGAGAATAGGATTTTGCAGTAATCTTCCCCCAGGAGTGAGGTGGGAATGGAGATTTTATAGTATCTTTCCCCTGCCATGTCCACCAAGCCACGGCCACCAAGCCACACCACGCTTACAGAACCGGTAGTAAAAAAATTTGAACCCCACCACTGCTGTGAGGGGAGTTGGGCTGAGGGAGAGCTTCTGGCCCAAAGTCACTCAGCTGGCTTTCGTGGCTAAGACAGGATTTGAACTCACGGTCATATAGTCCCCATCTGTTCTCTGCCTCCCGAGTCCCAGTTGATTTGTGCCCTGCACAGGAGAACGAGATGGAAAGCAGGTTAGTGGGGTGGGGAGGGAATGGGGATTTTGCAGTATCCTTCCACGCCCACCAAGCCACGCCTACAGAACCGGTAGTAAAAAAATTTGAATCCCACCACTGGACTGGAGACAAACATATGAAGAATGGTTTTCAGGAACTGGGCCTGGCTAGTCTAGTGAAGAGAAGGACCAGGGGGAGAATGATAGCAGTCTTCCAATATTTGAGGGGCTGCCCCAGAGAGGAGGAAGGGGTCAAGCTATTTTCTAAAGCACCCGAATGCCAGACAAGGAATAATGGATGGAAACTGAACAAGGAGAGATTCAACCTGGAAATAAGGAGAAGCTTTCTGAGAGTGAGAACAATCAATCAATGGAATAAAAGTTGCCTTCTGAAGATGGAAGCTTCATCACAGCTTTCAAGAAGAGACTGGACTGCCATTTGTCAGAAATGGTGTGTGGAATCTCTTGCTTGGACGAGGGTGGGAGGTTGGATGAGATGGTCGACAAGGTCCCTTCCAGCTTTGTTCATCTGTTAAATTGTGGGCACTGCAACACTGGAGGCTTTTAAGAAGAGATTGGACAACGATTTGTCAGAACTGTTATAGGGCAGAGGTCTCCAAACTTGGCAACTTTAAGACTTGTGGACTTCAACTCTCAGAATACTGGGAGTTGAAGTCCACAAGTCTTAAAGTTGCCAAATTTGAAAACTCCTGTAATAGGTTTCATGCTTGAGCAGGGGGTTGGAGCAAAGTCCCTTCCAACTCTGTTATTCTGCTTTGTTTACCTCCTTCACCGGCCCAATAGCAATAACAATAGCACTTAGACATATACCGCTTCGTGATGTTTTTACAGCTCTCTCTCTAAGCAGTTTACAGAGTCAGCCTATTGCCCCGAACAATCAGGGTCCTCATTTTAGCCACTTTGGAAGGATGGAAAATCCTGAGTCAACCTTGAGCCTGGTGAGATTCATACTGCCAAATTACAGGCAGCCGGCAGGCAGCAGAAGCAGCCTGCAGTACTGCGCCACCATGGCTGTTTTATTACCCAAAGTAGGTAACATCTTCATCATCATTAGCACTGACGATGCTACTTAGTTTAGCTAATAAAACATCTGCAAGAAAACAGTCGAGCTCAGAGAGCAGCAAGGGCCTCTTCATGTCAACCCTGAGTTAATAAATATTTTTTTTTATCAGCTTCCTGGGTCTGCTAGAGTTGTGGGGAGAGGGTTGCAATATTCTGGGTGAAGCTGCAAAACCCTGCAACTTTCTCTACTACAGACACTGTTCAGACCCAGGCTTCGTCAAACGTAATTAAACACAAACTTGTTTTAAAAGCAAAACCTATTTTAATGTAACGCTGGGAATTACTTCCATTCACAGCCAGAACTAAACTTAAAACAGTTCCCCAAGATAAGCACATGCCTGTCAGTGCTGTGGAATGCTGCCAAAAACAGAAGTATCCAAATTAATTATAACGGTATCAGAAAAAAAAAATGACCAGAATACACAGGGCTTCAAAAAGGGCTTGGAATCTATTGAATTGCTTTGCTTCCTGCAAAGAGTTTGTCATTGAGGTCTGACTTTTATCCCTTATGGGAGGGGCAATCACCTTACTCCCGAGTCCACTTGTTCCTCTGCCTCACTGCTGCCAGACTCTGAAGGCAGCACCCCACTACCAGATGGTCCTGGCCCCATCCCTGCATCGGATGCAGGTCCCTCGTCCAAGTCCTCTCCAGACTCCCTGACTGGTCCCCTTTCATCCTCACTTTCCGATTCCGCTGTCGTCTGTACGGCTGCTGGTGAATCACAATAGACACAGGTGCCTTGCTGTATTATAGCCTGAAGGCAGGTAAAATAAAGGAGAATTGCAGTTGTGTCTGCAAGAAGGATGTGAAGGAGTCAGGGAGAGTTTAAAGCTACACCCCCCTCTGTCTGTAACTGCTATAAATGGGGGGGAGTTCAGTTTTTTCCATATTTGGACTGGGTGAGTGAAATTGCTAATACCTCAGAAACCCATACAACCCATTAAAGGTTAATATCTGTTTAAAACAATTAAAATGGCTACAGTTGAAAATAGCAAGCAAACAGCACTGGAATCAACTACCAAGAAATGAATTTCCCTATGTGCTTCTTCGGACTGGTGGAGGTGAACTGTCAGCCAGGAAAAAGAAATCGGCAGCGAAAGTGGTTCAAACCATTACAGGTTTAATGCACGAGAACACCTTCTACAAAGGATTTGAACGATTAATGTTCAAAGCAAATTGGTGATAGATGAGAGTCAACGGAATTCGAGGTGGGCTGGACTTAGGCCTCTGGTGGGTGCGAAGGGGCTTGAGACTGATGACATGTTTCACCCTTCCCTCAGGTTCAGCCTGGTCATCTATATGGATTTGTATTTCTTTTTTTAATTTTTTTTATTGGTTTTTATTGGATTATATTGGATTTGTATTTTTTGAGCTTCTCATCTTCAATCTCTGCAGCCAGACCCCTGAGGCTGGTGGACTAAAGGATGCATGTAAGGAAATATCAGAAAAGAAGAAAAGAAAGAAAGAAAGAAAGAAAGAAAGAAAGAAAGAAAGAAAGAAAGAAAGAAAG